AAGCCGAGAATAGCATCGGCTTGCGCTCCCGCAGTCATGGCGTTGATGACCACTTCAAAACTTTGACAACCTTGTTTCCACATGGTGCGATCGTCCAAATAAATAGCCAAAGAAATCCTTGGTTCCTGCCGTTTGACAAACCTCACCCAAACTGTCATCAAAGCGTTCAGTAGCGCAGGGCTGGCTGGACAGCCTTGCAACAAACCCCGTTGAGCAATAACCGGATGAGGGTGATAAGAACCTTGCCAAGCAAACCAACGACGCTGTTCACTGTAAAAATCAGCGAGTAAATCACAAATTGATGAGGGAGCACCGAACCATCGCCACACTTTAATGGCTGTCTGAGGGCAAACTGAATCAAAACACTTGCGAACATCAGCTTTGCACCCGACCAAATCGACACGAGACTGCTTTGCCGCGCTGACAGCTTCGTAGAAACGTTCATGGACTTCCATGATGCCCTTGCCTGGTAGACCACCAAAAAGTTCGGGCGAAGCCCATTCCGCAATCCAAGGCTGTAATTTTTTCAGAGTGGCACTCATGCAAATACGCCACAGGACAGTGACAATGGCTAAAGGGCGCATGCCACCAGTAGCTTTTGGTAACAAAGCAATTCTAACATCTTTCCACATCGTAGGAACACAGCCATGTCGCAAGCAAGCATCCCAAAGAGCACCGACCTGATCCCAAAAAGCAATGGGAAGATTGCACAAATGGAGAGCTGTCCAGGCATCCATGCCCGGAGCCTTGTCCTTCGCTTTGAGCGCAATCCGAACCAATTCAGAACCACTAACCTGAATACAGTCATCCGGCAATGGATCGCTTGCAGAGCCAATCTGAGAGTACAACTGGTCCCCCAGATTCAAATTCGGAAGCGACCCTGGATTCCAATACCTCTCCCAATCCAATGCTGCGCACTTGGCCCTATCTGCAGGTAGAATGGGGCCATCAAAACTTGCAGTAGGACTGGCGGGCGGCACCTGTTTGACCCACCTGCCTAGTTTGGTGGCATTTTCCTGCACGCTGTCCTTCCACGCCTCCAAGCGTAACTTGGACGCTGCTGTAGCTTCTGCATTTGCCAATTCTAGCACTGCACTAACCAACCTGGGGTCATCCAAAGAGAAAAAAGCCAAAGAATGATGTAAATGAGGGCCATCACGAACCAACTTCTTCTCCAACTCTGGCAACGGGGCCTTTTGGTACTCCACCACTCTTCGTGCGAAGCGTCTGAGCTTGCGCTCTTTCACTGTTTGCAAAGAAGGCGCTTTTGAAGACGGAGGACTGGCAATTTGCTGCGGGCCCTGGCGCATAGCACGACCAGTTTTGCCACGTGCGAGAAGAAGAGATTCTGCGCAGTTGCTAAGTAAGGTCCAAGCAGAGTCCACGTTGCCTGTACTCAATGCATTTCCAAAATCGTCACATACTTCTTCCCAAGCACTTAGCCAAGAAGCTTCAGCAACCTTTTCAGAATGCAAAGGGGCACCAACTGGGAGAGTCCACGGTGTGGATAATGAACCAGGCACATGCAAGTTGTAAACCACCGCGTCATGGTCAGCCACGCCAAGATGTTGCTCCCTACCAGTAATAATTAACCGAGGAGTGCACAAGCCATAGTCAATGACCACACCTGTATAAACACCTGCAGCAGTTCGATGTGTACCACCTAAAACACGATCTCCGCAAACCAGCTCATCACAGGACCGCCACTGTCCAGTAGCCAAAACGTTAGAAATTGGCCAACAATGAATTTCCAAATTGAAGTCACCCATGATCACTGTATCTTCACCACAAGCAGCAACAAACTCGAACAGCGCACCCAGCGCACGGCTGGCAGCTGTGCGATCTGAAGCATGTAAGTAAACATTGATGAGAATCAACGGCCTTTGCTGAGGTCTATAGAGTTTGACGGCCATGGATCTTTCCACAGACACCATGTCGACAGGAAGGGCCAAGGCCTCAGCAGGCCACTTTGTTAGAACCAATGTACCACCTTCCACTACATTTTTCGAATTTCTTCCTTGAGGGCCAGGAAAAAGTTGCCACCCGCGTGCCTTGACGGCACGAGTCACAGCATTCCAGCTGTGATTGTTAACTCTAGTTTCTTGAAGACACAGAACATGTAAATTCTGGAGCTGAGCAAAGTCAAGCACACCACCCAAGCGGCCTCCCAAGGACCGTACATTCATAGTCCCCAACCGCATAGTGCTGTCAGAGCCCGTCATGGGTTCTGATCCACAGCGCCATCCTGCTGCAATCCCAAAATGTCCAAAGCTCGCGAAGCAGCTCGCTGTCTGGCACTTGGAGCCTGAGCCGCAAGAGGCACCAAAATATCCCTCTGGCCCTTTCGAAACTTAGTCCAAACCATTTTACGAGGACACTGACTTCCTGTAAGCCGTCTGATGTTGTTGACACAACGCTTGCAATGCACACAAGCAAAACGCACCGTAAAATTGGCAGGCCACACAATGGCCTCAATCTGATGCGTGCTGTCTGCTGCAGTATCAGTGGTGCGAAATGCTCCAGAGTCGATGATTTCCAAAACTGTGCGGGCACCCTTCTTGAGGTCATCGCTGATGTCTGCATTTTTGAGGCACGCACGCAATCTTTCCACCAACTGCTTTCGTTTGGGCCCTTTGCTGGAAGCATACTGTTCACAAGCAATCTTTGCCAAACGCTTCGCTGTCAAAGCCATACTGCCACAAGTTTTGCAAATGACGTAAGACATTCCAACTCTTTTCTGTTTGCCATTTCCTGTGGCTGGAATGGTAACGAAAGTGGGGTCATGTGCTCCAGCATCGCCACGCTTGAAGCCAAGCAACCTTCGAGCCACTGCAGCTGCACGCACCTGGCGCGTGGCTTTGCTAGCATTCTCCCGTCTGAAGCTGCTGTCCTTGTGGAAGAGCTTGGCATCCGCCTGAGGATGTTTGTCTTCCCTATGCTTGCGGATGACGCTGTACACTTGGCCAGGTTTGAGGTTGTGATCAGCGGACAAGCCAAGTTTGCAAACAGGACACTTCCAGCTATAGACTCCTCCCTTCTTGACCGCAGACAGCGCAGGCAACGTGTTTTTGAAGCCGATTTTCAACTGTTCCTTCTCATCGGGATGCCAAGCATTGATATGAGCTCTCTTCTTGTCAACCCATCCTTTGCACACCCCAGTGGAAAAGTCACACAAAGGGCATGTCCACTCAGTACGCTTAGTGCGTCTGGACGAAGCACTGGCTGCGTCTTGTCCTTCACTGGCTGCACGTGGCGTGCACGGACCCCGACCCGAAGTAGCAGCCGCAGGGGAAGAAGAATTCTTGCGCTGCTCTGACAAAGTAGAGGCGGGCGCGGGGCTAGCACACCTTCCACGTTTATTGTTGCTATGAACCAGTGACGGCAAAGCTGACAATCTGGTGGCACCAACTGAAGTAGCGCCACATTCCGATCCTCCACCTCTGTTGCCCTGCATTGGACCATTTGCGGCCTGAGTCAAAACTTCAGGAGGGAAAGCACCTTCAAGTCGTTCATAGTGCTTTGAACGAAACCACAAAGCGATGGGAGCACCACCCTTGCCACGACCATTGTAAATCTCCGGAACCCCACGAGGTTGGAAGACAATGATCGGGCGATCGTAGTGCACAGCCGCAGCAGAAACTTCAAGAGCACTGCCCCAAGCACCAATCTTTGAGAGCATGGTGAGATAGCTCTCCCATGATTCGCAAGCATTCTCCGCCTCTGTTGGCTCCTTGCCGTCCCACCAGGGCTTGTAACGACCCTGGTGCTTGGTCAGGTGGGTGACAACGCTTGCACGCACATTCCTGGCTGTTTTTCCGCCCAAACTTTGAGCAAGGGCTTCAAAAAGACAGTTGCCGTCAGCAGGGATGCTTTTCACCTTCATATTGTGAGGGGGCTTGGGTTCCCCCGCAACACGCTTGGCCGGAGGACTCTTTTCAGGAGTACTGACAGTTCTTTTTGCCCCAGCGGGTTCTCCAGCATTGTCCATCTTTGCGTCCGACTTGTCCTCGTCCAAATTCTCAGCAGGAACCTTCTCAGCCCCTGCAATAGTCACTGGCTTTTTGACTGGCGTTCCCATGTAGAAAGATTTGCGAGGAGCAGGCGTGGCAATCGCCTGCCATGCATGGCTCTGGTTATAACTGACCCTTCCATTGCTAGCCAGTTTCATGGTATGTGTTCTCTGCCGTCTTTGTCTTGGAGCTTCAACAGCTACAATGACTTTTTCGCCAGCCTGAATTTCAATGAAATCCATATCCTTTTGAGCATTGGCCTGCACCCACCATTCCACTTGTTTGCCCACAGTTTTCCGGGACAACACCTTGAGTTCAGTCAGGCCAGCACGTGTAAGTTCCTGAGTCAAGGTACTAGCCCGAAAGGCGTTCCAGCTGAATCCAGCACCAAAAGAACTCCCTCAGACATCTGCATAGCTCTGTAGAATGAAGTGCTGCGTGGGTTGCTTTTGATATCCTCTTCCACGCAGTGCTGGTTATTGGCATATGCACAAACCCAATAGAATGTACTGCTTGAGAGTTCTCGCACCAGAGCATGCTGCTCCAAGCAGGCCAGAAACTTACAAACAGGCTCCTCACAGATCTGCCCAACACAAAATTGGACGTGCTTCAAAGCAATAGATTGACTTTCATCTATCATTACGCTGAATGTTCATTTCTTTTTGATACAGCATCCTATTGAGGGTCCGAAATGAACAAGTCCAAAACTCAACCAAGGCTTCTAGGGGAATGTGAATTATTAGCAGAAAAAGTAACTTGTTGCTGACAGACAATGCAATAGCACGGTCTCAAACAACCTCCAGAGTTTGCCTATCCAAGGCTCGATCCAAGCATGTGACACAAACCAGTGAGGTCTCTGCACTTGAATCGCCATGAGCTCAACCATGCTGCAGCCCTTTTTCGCATAGCCGTCCTGGGATTCTGCATAATGTTGCCAATTAAAAAAAGAAAAACGGTAGGTTCTTCAAATTGGAAAATGTTGTCACATCATCAACAAATCCAGGCTTCGGTGGCTGGTTTGATGATCCAATGATTCGCATGATACAAGTTGAACGTCTCAAATTGCAGCCTTGTCCCACGCTGTTCTCCGAAAGTCTCGCACCATCTGTCAGCCATCTTGGAGATGAAAACAACGATCTTTGCCAATTGCTCGCGCGTGATCCCTCGCTCTGCAGTATCTTCGATGCAGAAAGGCTCCTTCGACAGGTCCACCAACAAATGCAGCAAATGAAATTGGAATGGAATTCAAAAAGCATGGTGCAGTACCCTCAAAGGCGGAATCATGGGCCAATCTCTGAAATTCGAAAGCTCGACTTTTAAATACAGTTTCTCAGTTTCTCTTTGTTCTATTTGATCCTATTAGTTATATTGCCTTTATTTCACATGGTCTCAAGGAGACGCCGCTGAAGTTTCTCTTTATTCTATTGACAACAGAGCCTTTGCTTCACATGTTCTCAATGCACAAAGGCGCCTGTTCAGTGGCCGACTGTTCCCCCACTATCAAGTAGATCTCACAAGCCACGTTCGAAATGCGTTTAAACCACTGAATCCCAAAACAAAAAATGAATCGGTCCATCACACTGCTGCACTTGTCGCAATTGGTACTTGTTGGCATTTAGTTTCTAATCGTGATTTGCTACTTGGCATGGTCTGCATTACCTATTGAAAAAGAAACAAAGCTGCAGGTTTCTCTCCTGGTTGGTGATCTCTGAGTAGTTTGTCAAGACTAAAGTGCTGTGGCGGGTTGCCTCCACAATGTCATCGCACTGTAGCTGGCAGACCCCACTTGACAGCAACTTGTTCCCATGCCATGGGCTGTCTGGCAAACGCTCACGTAGCAGTAAAATAATGTCAGCAGCGGTGCTCGAAGCAGTCAGTTTGATATCAAAGTGACCATGTCCAGGAATATCCACAGAGACCGACATGAGGCAGAGAGTCCTTTGCGCTGTCCAGCAGTACGAATTACAGTAATTACAGTCTACAACACGTGGTCTGCTGGAACTTTCTCTTGAGAAACGTGAAATTGGGTTGCTTTGTTCGTATGTGGCTTGCTTGACTGGGTTGGTTTTCATGTCAAAGTCAATGGCACCGCACAGTGCAACTGCGGTACAAGTCCGTCTTGAGAAAACGCCAGAGGGGCAAAAACAAAAACAACCAAACCACCTGCAAGACAACATGCAATAAACATGGCCAACATGGCCAACATGCCCGAAACAACCAAAACCACTTCACAGAACCCTTTAAAAAGGAAGCCATGTCTAAACAGCTGGAATGCATCTTCAGATATTATACTGTACTACGACATGTTTTGATCCATCATGCCAATTTAAATGTTCAATGCTTGGTTTCCACACTCTTCCAGGACCACTGCAATGAAGTCCTGCAGGTGTCGAACCCACACCAATGAATGATGCGAAATCGCCAAACTCTAAGATTCTGTTGCACCAAGATCGGGGGCATCAAGTTGGCTTTGCCTAGAACCCTACAGGGCAAAGAACATTTTCTCCAATTTCCAACAACTCTAATTCCAAGGACAGCAGCTGACGTGGCGTCCTCTGGCAGAGTTGCTGGCAAAATGCACCTTTGCGGCGCTGGGGATCAGACAGACAAGCAAAAAGCCAACGGACGAGTTTCACAACATTTCACGAAATAAGGAACCACGTGAACGACAGGTTTAAAAGTATGTAATTACTCCGAACTCCGAACTTTGAATTTCTGACATGTACATCCTCCAATAGCGTAGCCTGGCCATGAAAACTCAATGTTTCAATAGGAAAGTCAACTGTAAAAGCAGGATTTCCTATCACCAGGTTTCACAACCAAAGGATACATGTTGGGGTTGGAAGCACTTGCCACCTGCACCGGGGGCCTCAACGTCAACATCTCTCTGGGACAGGGAAGGTGGACCCGGGTTTCTCTTGGAATACCGAGCCTCAACGGAAAATCGGAAATCGTTGTCTCTAAATACAGTTGACCCGTCCAAAATCCATGGGCCGTATAGTGCTTGAAAGATGATGGGAATGTATGAAATCTTCCAGATGTTCCAGAAATGTTGCTACCAATGATATCCAATGATAATCAAGGTCATAATCCCGTTGTTTTCATGATAAACATTCGTGTCACTGCTGTAGTAGTATGTCAATTGGTATCAACTCTAAATCATTCTAAATCCCTGGCCATGTCCTCACCCCGGACTAATTTCATCCCTGATTAAATCCTCACCCCACGACTCTCGAGACTCGTCAATCGCGCAGTGCTGGGCGTTCGAGCCGCTGCAGTGAACTTCCTGCAGCGCTGGGATGAAGCCCTCATCTTTTTCCCCGTGCGAAGCCCATTTCGAGGACATAGTCCCAGCATGTCCCAGCAAACTATGGACTTTTGGATAAGGCGCCCTTTATCGGGATATAACTGGTGTCTAAATATCGGAATCCCCACAGTTGTGTAATGGTGTGTATACATGCGAAAAGCCGGTAATATGGAGCAGCTTGCGGATTTTTTCACATGGTTGTCCTTCATCGGTCCACACATTGAGTGGTGTAAAGACCGCAAACAATGGAAACCATCTCAACTTGAAGGTGTTGAACTTCCATACAAGTTCTGGCATTGATGACATGGATAAACCCCAACCCTTGCTGCATCGTCCTCCATGGTAGAAACCCTTGCAATTGTCACTATCTGCAAAGCTTTCCTCAAGTAATGCACCAAAACAATCCAAAACATTTGAGATCTTTCAGGGTCAAGTAGTCCAGGCACCTTTTTCCCAGCTAAGCCATGGATTTTGACCCAGCGGATCGACCCCCACCAGATTCTGGATTCCAATGGTGTTAGATGGTGTTATGTTGTATGATGTTGTATGATGTTGTCATGTTCTTAAAAGGAATGGTCATACACCCACAACTTGTCGAAACTCAAAAATTCTCGGCGTGATGTTCCCATTTGGAGCCATTGGTGCCTGGTCCAAGGCGCAGCGTGCCGAATGGCAGCACTCAGCACTTCATGTGGTCGACACAGTGGTTACACCTATCTCAGCGGCTTCTTTCCACGTTTTTCAAAGAACCAACTTCTGTTCTGCTCCCTTCAGACTGTCTTTTTCCTGTTGGAAGTCTTTCACCACAAGAGGGCCAATCTGGAACCCTACAAAGACTGAAAACGAGTTTCCAAGCAGAGGCAAGCTGTAAATACTGGGGAAGACATCCCAACAATGGAGGTTGAAAACTTACAGACCACACCAGAACCGAAAGCTTCATGAAGACTTCGACTGAAGACTTTCATAACTGTGATGACTTCGACTGGACATTCCGATGCCTCGGTGTGCGAACGTCTCTCCAGTTGCGCGCCAGGTGCCACTGCCACCTTGGACCTTGGTCGCCCAATGCAGGTGCCTCTCCCAAAACGACCCAAAAAATGACAAAATGGCAATAAATTTCACGAGGACAAGCCATATGAAATGCATTGCAACTAGATTCAAAATGATTCAAAGGGGTTGTTGGAAGTAGGTGAACTGTGAAATCTAGTCGCTTGACTGTGTGATCTATACCCAGGAATCAGTCCTAGCCTCGTCACAATATGGAAAAAGAGTGATCACAACCCTATCAAGCGGACAGATGGCAGAGCACCCCATCATTTTCGCCGAAACAAACAAGGAATCCTTCATCCGCATAGCCGGACATCTCAGTTGACCATCTCAGTTGAGACACTTTATAGCCGAACAAATTGCGGGCAACTCACTGAGACCATTGCCCCACAGCAAAAGCTCTTCCAGACTTCGGAGCCCTGAAAACATATTGGCCCAGACTTCAGCGGGTAATTCGCCGAGTTTGTTGTCACCCAGGTTGAGCAACCTCAAGTTGTCGAGCCCTGCAAACAGATTGGCCCAGATCTCAACAGGCAACTCACTGAGCCTGTTCTCACCCAGGGCAAGCTTCTGCAGGTTGCCGAGCCCGGAAAAGACTCCAGCATGCAACTCACTGAGATCGTTTCCGCCCAAGTAAAGCTCCTGCAAGTGGCTGAGTCCTGCAAATGATTTGGACCAGACTTCAGAAGGCAACTCGCCAAGTTTGTTGGACCTCAGGTCGAGCTCTTGCAAGTTGCTAAGACCTGCGAAGAGATGGGCCCACACTTCGGCAGTCAACTCACTGAGCTTGTTGGTCCCCAGGTCGAGATCTTGCAAAATTCTGAGCCCTGAGAAGACTTCAGCAGGCATCTCACTGAGCAAGTTCGACCACAGGTCAAGCTCCTGCAAGTTGCTGAGTCCTGCAAAAACTTCAGCAGGTAGCTCACTGAGCGTGTTCCGACTCAGGTCCAGCTTCTGCAACTTGCTGAGCCCTGCAAAAACTTCAGCAGGTAGCTCACTGAGCGTGTTCCGACTTAGGTCCAGCTTCTGCAACTTGCTGAGCCCTGCAAACGATTTTGACCAGACTTCAGAAGGCAGCTTACTCAGTTTGTTGGCACCCAGTACGAGATGTTGCAAGTTGCTGGGCCCTGCAAAGAGATTGGCCCAGACTTCAGCAGGCAACTCGTTGAGCTTGTTCGACCCCAGGCCCAGCTCCTGCAAGTTTCTGAGTCCTGAAAAGACTTCAGCAGGCAACTCGCTGAGTTTGTTGTCATTCAGGTCGAGAATCTGCAAGCTGCTGAGGCTTGAAAAGATGTTCGCAGGCAACTGGGTCAGTTTGTTTGAATCAAGGTAAACCTTCTGCAGGTTGCCAAGCCCGGAAAAGAACTCAGCGGGCAACTCGCTGATCTGGTTTGTGTCTGTTGTGTTTCTTACAAGAAATCGGAATTGGCAAAGCAAAAGATTGATAGACAAGACTGTGTCTACGTCCGAGGTGATCTCCTTGCACTTGCCCAAGTTGAGCACCTGCAGGTTTCTGAGCCCTACAAAGCCGTGAGAAGGCAACACACTGAGCTTGTTCTGACCCAGGTCGAGCTCCTGCAGGTTACTGAGCTCTGCAAACAGGTTGGCAAAGGCTTCAGGAGGCAATTCATTCAGCTTGTTCCCAAAGAGATAAAGCCGTTGCAGGTTGCCAAGCTCAGAAAAGACTTCAGCAGGCAGCACACTGAGCTCGTTTTCATACAAGTAAAGCTCTCGCAACTTGCTGAGCCCTGAAAAGACGTTAGCAGGCAACTCGCTGAGATCGTTTTGGCTCAAGTACAGCTTCTGCAAGCTGCTGAGCCCTGCAAACGATTTGGACCAGACTGCAGAAGGCAACTGGCCGAGTTTGTTGTTCCCCAGATTGAGATCTTGCAAATTTCTGAGCCCTGAAAACAGATTGGCCCAGACCTCAGCAGGCAACTCGTTGAGCTTGTTAAAATGCAGGTCCAGCCAGGTCAAGTTGCTGAGTCCTGAAAAGACTTCAGCAGGCAACACACTGAGTTCGCTGTATCGCAGGTCCAGCTTCTGCAAGCTGCTGAGTCCTGAAAAGACTCCCGCATGCAACCGAGTGAGCGAGTTGTACCCCAGGTTGAGAATCTGCAAGTTTCTGAGACCTGAGAAGACTTCAGCAGGCAACTCGCCAAGTTTGTTGGACGTCAGGTCCAGCTCCTGGAGTTTGCTGAGCCCTGCAAAGATTTCGCCTGGCAATTCAGTCAGCTTGTTTGAACCAAGGTCGAGGGTCTCCAACAAAGGAATTTTATCGAGGATGTTGTGTGGCAGTGAGGTCAGCATGTTTTCACTCAGATCAAGAACTTGTAGCAGGGGGCAGTGCTGCAAAAGCTCTTGCGGAAGTACGCTCAGCCAGTTTCCATTAACGAAGCGATTGCCAATGTCATCAAGTTTACCCCCCAGCAACAATTGCTGCAGAGCTGGCATGGGGCGCAGCAAGTCTCTTGGCAATGCGTTCGAACGATTTTGGCTGAGGGACAAGATTCTCAAACTTGACAACCCAGCAAATGTGTCAGACTCCAAGTGCTTCAAACCCAAGCGGCCCAAGTCCAGCAATTGCAAGCTGTCCAAAGGAGCGAACACCTTCTCAGGTAAAAATGACAACCGATTGCCAGAGAGCGATAACCGTTGCAAACTCCGTGAAGAAGTGAAGGCATCCTCTGCAACACTTGTGATGTCCTGCTCACTCAAGCTCACATCTTTGAGGCGAAGAATGCCTATAAGGCTGCAACTCGCAAGGTGCTTTGCACCAAGATCCTTTTGGTGACAGCGGCACGGAAAGCATCCGAAATCAGCCGTGTCAATCGGGTAGAAGTGCGTTGAAAGCAATAGAGCAATGATCGTTACAAGCAAACAGGGCGAATACCTGAGCAGTGGTTGCAAGGAGAAACAAAGAACTCGAGATCATCCATCAAAGCCCGATGGAATGAAAGGGAGGGGGCCATTCCAGAAACCAAATTTCAAGGGGATTGACATTGAAAATATCGGTATGATATAGGTATCCATGTTTTTTACTTCGAGTGCCTTTGCTGGGACTCCTGGAACTATGCCATCCGACAGCACCTTGCTACAAGCCTGAAACCTGCTGAAAAACCTTACCCCCTTGGCTGTTGATGCTGGGGAACAACAGCTTAAGAAGTGGTGTATCAGATAGTATTAGTATGCTTTAGGACGCACAAAAGGGTGCAGCAAGTACAGTAAAGCTGAGAACAACAAGACGCCTCCTCTGTACAAATATGTTGAGGGGATTCGAGATACTCACATGATAAATTGTGTCAACAGGTTGCGGAACCACGATGGATTGAAAATTGCAGAAACAACATAAAACGAAACATAACGAAACCAATGCAGCGAAAATGCAATGCTTTGCAACAAATCCGATATCTCTTTGAGCAAGAAAATCTCGATGGGCTCAGCAGTGACTGGGAAGCAGAGTTCGGTAAGCTTTGCAACTTCTTCCAGTAGGTCGATCGATCGCTTCGCTCTAAGGCACGGCAAACAGTGCAAACATGTGCAATTGAATAATAAACAGCAAAGAAACCAAAAAAGTCGGCTGGGAACGCAAATGCCGGGTCCAATTCTGCTTGGAAGTTCACAGAAGCCTCATCCCCAAAATTTCCTGAAAGGGCTTGGCCCAGCTGTAGTTCGTGGATGGCCAGCAACGTGATGATGAGGTATGTGCTGGTGTAAGCAATATCAAGAACTGCATCCATCATGGCAGCACCACGCCGCACCCGCTTCACAGAAGGGAAGGCCAACAAAATCGATGGATAGATACTGTTCAAACACAGGAAACCCATAAAAGTCCAAAAGCATCTTTCGAATGCACCTGAATGCTTCGGAGCTGAATGAAATGCAAATGACACAAGGCCACCCATGATTTGGAGCTTTCCAAAGGCCTGTAGCATCACTGTGAATAGCTGCAGCATTGCAACTTTAAAGCCGTAGAGCTTGCCTTCAATGCCAAAATACTCCTCATAGAGCAGCTGGGTGGGTTTCAACGGTCTCAACTTGATATTGGCTGACCGACACCGGCGCAGGTCGCTCAGGAGGACGATGATCAAGGCCAGGTACGGCAAAGAGAAAACCATGGAAGGCAACAGCTGCGAAAGGCTCTCCTCCAACCATCCTCCAGCATCAGAAGTGGTAACCTCCGGCAATCTCCCATCACTGGGCTCAACTGTCTGCTTGAGAGCAAAAGCATCTCGAATCAGCTTTGGAAGCTTGGAGCGGATGAAAGGTGGACCGTTCCGCACAAAGTATTGCCCCCCAAGGTACGTTGCTGCAAGTAATGAGCTGATCCGAAGCAAAGCAACAACAACGACCACCAATCGTGATTGCTGTACTGGTCGCCCAGACATAAGCAAAGGATCTAGCTGCAAACTGCCTGCCACAAGTCCCACCTGTTCTGCCAAGCGGTGCACATCATCCACTTGATTTTCCAGCTTTGTCAAAGAGGCTTCACGGAAACGGATCGTGGCTAAATAGTCGTTGATCTTGACCACCATCTCGGCACATCTGACACCAGCTTGGGCTGAAGCAAAAGAATCGCGGGTACGCACAATCTCGATTTCTCTCAACTCATGATATTCTGCTCTGGTTTTCAGAAAGCACCAAGCATTGAGCATTTTCTCCCAATCATTAAAGAGTACATCGCAATACACGAGACCCAAGATTCGGCTGGGTTCACCTTCTCGCACGACAGCATCTTGTGCCATTGGCAGTGTCATCAATACAGGCCGTAAATCTTGCCGAGATATGGAACCAGGCTGCTCCTCCAAGAACTCCCGCAGTGGAAGGCACAGATTTTTGTCGAAGTCATCAAGATGTTTCCTGGCTTCGACGAAGTGTTCCGTCAAGCTTGTGACTTGAGGCTGGGCAATATCGTCTCTACCCCAATCACCAAAAAGCCTGGACATGTCATTCTGCAAATTCTTTGCATACAAAGCTTCCGATTCAACTTCAAGCTTCCTTGACAG